CCGCTCACAGCTTCTGGCTGAGCCCCGCCTGGCTGCTGGGCTGGAAGTCGCTGACGATGATGCCGAGCTGCCGGATGTTCTCCACGAACTTCTCCAGATGCTCCTCCAGGTGGTCGAACTTCTCCGCCATCGCCGGGTCCACCGGCCGCAGCCCACAGCGTCCCCGCCACAGCCCCGCTCTCCCGCTTCCGGCTTCCGTCCGCACCGCCCACTTCCGCTTCCTCTGGCGTGGGCGGGGCCTCCCGGAGAACCTGGCCTCCTGAGGGGGCGGGCTTGGGGCGGGCCGCTGGAGGGCGGGGCCTCCGGAGGGCGGGGCCTGGGCGGGGCCTGGGCGGGGCTGGGAGGCGGAGTGCGGACCCGGACCTCCCGGGCCAGGCCTTAGAGCCGTAATCACCGAGGTCTTCACTGGAGCAGCCTGGAAATCACAGGGCTCCCTCCGAAGTGGGCAGTCACACCTCAGGGGTACGGAAGGAGTGATGAAGACTGGTGCGGACCGCAGTGAAAACCTTCACGTCTGTTCCATTAGACTCTGGGAAGATAGAGAAAAGCTAATGCTTTAGCGACAGTATCAGATGCAGGCGCTCTGGGCACGTCCCACATGGGAAGGAGAGGAGCTGAGTGGAGGAACGGAGTTCACACTGAACCTGCACTTGCATGCTTATCGTCTGGGAGTCTTGAAGGACGTGGGCAATTTTCTTTAGAAAATAAACTCGGGGCCAGTAAGATGGCTCAGAGGGTAAAGGGACTTGTGCAGAGCCTGACAACCCGAATTCGATCTCCAGGAACTCACATGGTAGGAGGCAATAAAGTCCTGCGTTGTCCTCTGACTTCCATGTGTGTTGTCACACGTGCACCCACACACATATATCCCATGTACACGTACAAAAATAAATAATGAGTCAATGTATTAAATTTAAATCCCGGGGTTGGAGAGATGGCTCAGCGGTTAAGAGCACTGACTGCCCTTGCAGAGGACCCGGGTTCGATTACCAGCACCCACACGCCGGCTATGAATCATCCCTAACTCCAGTTCCAGGGGAATCCGAAACCCTCTTTTGACTTACGCAGCATCGCACGACTTGGGTGCACTCACATACATGCAGGCAATGCACTCATACACATAAAATAAAAATAATAAAATAGTTTAAATTTTTTTTTTAATTTAAACCCCCCAAATTAACAGAAAAAATAATGGGAAGTCAAAATAGGGCCCCACTATTTAACAAACTGGCCAGCAGGCAAAAAAAGTCTCTTTCCAAAACAGAAGATGCCAGAGCCCTGCCAGCTTTTTACACTCACTTTTTAAATATCACACATTAAAGAACAAATTATTTTACACTTATTCGGACGCTTTTGGAGACTAAAAAAGGGAAGATGCACTTCCCAGTTCAAGGGTGCTATGACCTCGACCTCAAAATCAGTCCTGAAGGGCGAGAAGAGAAAATGGTCAGTCTTCCACATGAATGTGGAAAGACAGGGCTGGAGGAACAGGATTCCAGAAAAGGGAGGGTACAGAGGCTCCAGGGGTGTGATCAGCATTCAATAAATACTGCTTTAAAAACTTTGTAAAGCCAAGTAAAACTTTTTAAAAAAAGATGCAAAAATATTAAATTATTAACAAGCAGAACCAACTACCATGTATTGCTGTAAAACAGACATCTCCCAAACTTGGTGGTTCATAACCTCAGTTTCAGTTTTCCTCACAAAGCTTAAATGTGGGCTGTGCATGGTACTCCCAGCATGCCTCTGCCATGCATCACCTCAATGGAGTTAGCAGAACTGACTGCACACTGCAGACCTGCTTTCAAGATGGTTCATTCCATATTTCCATGTTGGTAGTAGATGTCTGCTGGATGGTGGGCTAGAGACCACAGCTCCTCTCCAGGAAGATATCTCTGTTGGACTTAGGGATTCCTCACCTCATGGTGTCTGGACACCAGAGCACTTAGCTCCAGAGAAGCAAAGGGACACAGTCCCACCCACCTACTGTGACCTCACCTGGAAAGGCCCACCGTAGCCATGGTGCATTCAGAATCCCAGGAAAGGAACATCAGCCCAGCCACTCAATGAAATAAGTAAGGAGCCATATTACTGGAAGAGCAGGAGAGAGGCAGGGAGGAATCATCTGAAGTCATTTTTGCAAAATACAACTCATCATTCATTCCATTTGGGGGAAAAATATCACCCACTGGAATGTAGGATTGTGTAAATCACTAAATACTAAAATATATCCCTGTAACTGGGCTTATTAAGGAACAAAGAAGAAAAACATCATCTCAGGGAGCTTTTAAAAATCAACACTGGATAAATTCCAACTATATTCAGGATTTTTTAGAAAGAAAGGCAGCTCAAAGTAAGGAGAGATTAGAAGACTTTTTCCAAACTTGACAAAGGACAGCTACTAAAAACCTTTACAAGATACCAGCTTCGACAATGAAGCTTTAGGGACTGGAGAGGTGCTCAACAGGTAAAAGCATCATCTGTTCTTGCAGAGGATCCAGGTTCAGTTCCCAGCACCCACATGGTGGCTAACAACCATCTATAACTCCAGGTCCAGATCTGATGCTCTCTTCTAACTTCCATAGGAGTTGCATACACATGGGTGCATTTGCATACAGACAGAACACTCATACACATAAGATAATGGGGAGGGCGAGGGAGGAGGGTTAGATAGAAAGGAGAGATAAACAATGCCTAGCTACTATAAAAAACTGAGGGAATCATACTAGTCCAACAACCTAATGACAAATTACACAAACAATATCTCTACATGAGTCTATGTGTATAGCTAAAGGCTATACAACAAGAAACAGTGTCAGACAGGAGGAACCTTCCTTTCAGTTGTTGGCCAGAGTAGACCAAGTGACTCCCAAAATTACACAGGCTATTGCCACAACCTTTGACGTCCTCCCAGAACTTGAAGGTAAGACCCTATTGGTGAAGACAGGACATACTTTGAACACAGGATTTGGAGCAATGGAGCTGGAACTAACCTGGAAGCCACCTCCCCTGTAGGCTAGCTCTCATAGCTTTGGAAAGTACTATGCAAGCTGCTAAGGGAGAACAGCAATCAATGGTCCAACCCCAGTTTTAAGGCTGAATAATCACATCAATGACTGGTACAGAAAATGACATTGGTGCAGTAGTGGCACTTTTATCTTGGGGGTAATCAACAGCTACTTATTTGGATTTAAAAAACCCACTCGATGGCAGAAAACTCATGTGTGGTACTGTAAACTTAGCCAAATATACATGGCTGGAGAGGTCATAGATCTTAGAGAAAATTCCAAGGGTGTCACATCCCTAGACAAATGTAATTTCTTACTATGTGCAAAATATGGATCCTTATATTTACAGACAAGTATACCAGTCACCACTCAGCAAAGAAGCTTCTTTTGAAACAGACAGATTATTACAGAGTCCCGCAACTGGTCACACACAGAAACTGTAATTTCCCAATTCTAAGTGGCACATCTACAATTCAACCTCTACACCTAAGGCTCATGGAACATAGAACAGGGGGTAAAGAGAAAACTAATGCATCTCTCATTTCTCATCAATGAAGCTCCCTCATGCAACAGAGGACCAGGAACACAAAAGGTCACAAATGGGAAAACATAGAAAATAAGAGTCTGCAGGGTGTGGGTCCTTGGACAGGACTCCTATATTAAAATCCACCCACCCAGGAATCAGGGACCACTGTGGAAGAGGGGCAGAAAGACTGTAAGAGTCAGGGAGGAGGTGTGTGAGTATATGGAAATAGAGTCCTACAGGCTTCTGGGACCCTGCTCATATGAACCCACAGCAATGGTGTCAGCATGCACAAAACCCATGCAAACTCAAGCAGACAAAAACCCAGCACAGAACTGTGGAATTGGGCAGCAGGCCCCAATCTTAGTTAAAGAATTATTGGCAGGTGATTACTGCTGGGTGAGAAGAGGTGATCTTAAGGGAGGGACTCTAGATTGGCTAACAAGACTTCAGTGGATGAACTTTCACTGAGGGGCATCTGGGGACACTAACTTGACACAATAGGCCTTAACACAAAAGACAGAATGTATGAATTCCAGTGGAAGTCTATAGGAAGGTGCCAGTGGGGAAGGAAATATAAAGATGATTAAGATACTTTGTATGAAATATGCAAAAATTCAATTAAAAATCACAAAAATAAAATCATGAAGCTTTAGAAACAGTGTTCTGACCGTCACTGTCCACTCGGCTTTGCAGTATTGTAGAGGAAATAACGGGGTGGAGTTGATGAAGCCAGCATGTGGCTATGGTCTGTCCTCCTTGCTGCCTGCCTTTAAAAAAATTAAAATTTACCAGAAGGGCAGACAGGGGGAATGGATGAGGGTGCTGACAACACAATGGACAGTGACAGGGATGGCAGAGTATGGAGCCTCTAGTGGGAGAGGAAGGCTGTCTATCTGACGAGTTTGTAATCATGCTCAGATGCTGAGGAGCTCAGAAGGTGGGCGACTGTGACCAGTGATAGTCATGTATATAGAGATTAGAAATGCATGTGAAAACGTCTCAATGTCAATTGCCTTGGAATGAATTCTTCTGTATGAAAAAAAAAAAGTATCTTCTTGAAGTCCCTCAAATTAAGGTAAAGAATAAGAACAAATCATTCTGGAAGAACGCAAAGGAAAATAGCTTTAGATACTTAAGTGACAATTGAATTTATTCTTATAATTGTTTTAATAGCTTTTGTATAATCTTCATTGCTATTATGAGATATAAAATGTATTTATCAAATCTGTAATCATTATGCCAAAAAATCTGAATTACTGTAATATTTTGTATATTGTTAAAACTGTAACTTTAATTGTAAAAAAAAAACTTAAAATTAAAAAAAAATTAAACCTCTAAATACCTTCTGAAATGTCACTACAATTCCTATGTGGTTTATACTGTAGTAGATGAAGACAGACACCTCCTCCCCCGTTCCCTCCGATCCCAACCTCGGCAGCACTCTTAGTTCGTAGGCTCCCAGAGGAGAGTTCTCACTAAGGAGGCAAGCAAGTAGCCAAGGCTCACTTTAAAAGGGAAGAAAGCTAAAGAAAACAAGAGCAGTGCCCGGAGTAGAGGGTAGACCCAGCCGAGCAGCCAACCAAGCTCGGCCGCTAGTACCCGGGGGTGGGGGTGGGGGTGTCTAAATTTGATTAAGAAGTGTTTTATGAAATGTACAAAAGGTCAATAAAAAATTAAA